CCGGGTGAAACCGGGGCTCGGGTTGTTTTGGGGAAAATGCTGCATTTTTGAAAAAAAAAAACTTGGTTGAAGCAAGAGCTGTGATTTTGGGAGAAATGCTGGACCATGGAGGAAAAGCATTGGAAAAGTATTGGTGAAGCCTGGGAAGTAGTTGGAGCTTGTGATAAGTGAACGGTCGACATCTTCACTTTAGATAGAAAGGGCTCGTCTACCACTCGATGACGCGGTCCGGTCGACGCGAAAAACACTGCAATTGTTTTCAAAACTGTTTTTTCCACTCCAACAAGAAGTGCCAATTCACACATCTTTTCATCGCTATTTTAAGGCCAAAAGAAGCCATATTTTCTCGTTCATAAAAGAACACGTTTCGTATGATCACGACAGAGTTCCATCTGCGGGAATTAAGGGGGAGTGCGAGTAGCCATGAGCTTCCGAATCAGTCTGTTAGCTCGATAAATTACGAGGACTTATGTGGATGTAAATATCAGGTGCAGAACAAGTGGACCGATCTGTCATTCAAAGCGATTCATTGGTGGATTCAAGGTTCTGAGTGTTAGCATGCCCCAAACGCATCACCACGTTTACCTCATCAAAGGGCTCTTTGTAGGGGCATTTACCTCATGATAGAGAGGATAATCATATGAGCACATCACAAGTCAATAAGCTTTTGTTCCACAGTATTTCTTCCAGTTAAAGATTGCCAGTTAACTTGTACCATCGCTTCGACAGTGCGGGGTATATTCCTAAAATGTGTGGGCCGTATCCCACTTGAAGAGGGCTCTGGTCAGAAGAGTCATTCGACCGCCTTTTACCGCAAGCAAGTTCAGGGTACTGCCGAAAATTTCAAAACACCATCTTGACTGTTCGGCATAGGGAAGCGTACCTCTTCGGTCAGTTGGGGTAAAAAAGTTTGTTGGATGGATTACTATTCTCTGGAATCCTAAAATGTAAGTTAGCTCCGTAGATGGATAATATTGAACCAAAATGAACACCAGATAGCATACCATCATTCCTGAGAAACTTCGATACACTTCCGTTTCTTAAAGACAGAGCTAGCTGTACGGAGCAAAGTCTTGTGAATGAAAAGGAATTCCTGGAAGATTGCCTAGGACATCTCAGCAACAAGTATTCTTCCTACTTTTAATTCCGGTTTCCTGCAAAATATCGTATAATTCAATTATTTTCGGGGAAGCACTACCTGTCTTTTCATTCGAGGTGTTGACTGCTACAAACTGTTCAGTAGCGACTACCTCAATATCTATCTACATCCTGTTGGCTTTATATCATTCAAACGAAAGTTTAAGATTGTTTTTTCCACCTGTGGAAGAGCTCATTCACATATTTTTCTCATCACCAGTCCTGCCCACTTTTAGACTGCACGCCATCCTTTCTGCTTCAAGCACTCTGTGAAGTTCCTAAATAAGCCTT